ACCGATTTTCTGCACGATAGCTTGCCAACATTTGTTGACGCATATTTAGAGTAGGTGCATCAGTGTAAGACTGACTAAGTAATAGTTAGATAATTAAATTTCTTTTCAAAGTAAAGATATTTGATTTTCTCATACACTTATCTTACAGGTATCGCATAAAATTTGTTTCACGCTGCCGAGATTTGCGTATAAATTATGTCGTTTAAAATTAATAACGAGGAAAGAATGTTGAAATAACAAAATCACCAGTGAATAGCATTCCAATAGATGACAGTTTTAATTTACAATTACATAATGATTATATATTACGGTTACAATTGTGTAATTATTATCCGCGACTTGGAAAAATATATTCTTATTCCTTATGTCTGATTCTACCAATGTACATTAATTTTATACTTGTGTTGATTTAATCTTAATCTTAATTTTTTTTCTGATTCTTAGAAACAAAATAAAAATTAAAAGTTAAATCAAGATTGAAGTTAATCTACTTGTGCTCTTTCTACCAATATAGTTTCATTTTAATCTTGCCCGACTAACTCTTTATCTTTTTCTAGCTTTAAGAATTAAAGTTAATTTACATTGATAAAAATAGGTAAAAACAGACATTAGCTCTTAGAAACCGAGCAAATACATTGAGCATTTATTATCTGCAGTCAATCACTGGTGCATCTATCTTAAGCGATTATTCAAAAAAGAAATCTCCTCCATGAGAGGTACCCTCTGTTAAAACGCACCGGACAATACCAGCGAAAGTTCTAGATCCTAAGACATCTTTAACATACTCCCTGCTTACCACTGTAAATACGATGTTACGTAAGAGACTAGTGTGATATATACGCATCGAAATAAAGAAAGAGTCGGAGACGGTAGACTTCGAGACGTTGTGTGAGAACTCATTTCATAAGTCCCTGAGAGTCCCGGCGTTACCAGGAAAGAATAGTAACGCGTCTACAGCCAGTAATTAGCGTCGCGCATTGCGACATTCCTGCCCGGTCGGGCAAACTTCTACGCGGCAAACTTACGCGCGAATATGCGGCCGAGGGAGTAGATCATGAGATCTCGCGCGTGATTTCCACGCATTCGGAAAGCCCGCCTGTTGTCTGCGAGAGAATTTCTTTGTCGAAAAAAGCGCCATGCGCGACACACGACGCAGATATCTCACGCGTTTATTCGAACAGCACGGTGAGAAACGGAACAATCACCGCTCGGTGAACGTTCGATTTGCACAAGTGGCAACGCAACAAAAGACGAATCAACTGGGTAATTATAAATATTGAAACGGTTCATTAATGATCAAATTATTAATTGGTTTATAGATGAAATGAATTGAAAATTACTTTAATTCACTTCATCTAACAAGGCTAATTAAAGTTATTTGATATTTTGATAAATGCTTATATCAGATTAGAGACTGGGATTGAGAGATTGAATTTAATCAAAGCAATTCAATCAAAGCAAAGTTCACTAAACTTGATGTAAATTCTCTTTCTTCCGATTGGTTAAATTGAACTCAATTTTAATCTAGTCTGAACGGGCTATTAGTTATTGTCAATTATTGGATCGATTATCGGATTATCCTAACTATGGGTGCAAGTAATTTTATTATCTTTATTTATTATCTTAAAAAAAGAAAGAATTAAACAAGCTTATTTCAAAATTACAAAAATTTTGTTTGTACAAAGTACAAAGGTATGTAAGTTCGTGTCAGTTACTGATAAGTGAAGTAAAACATATACATGAAAGTAATCGCAATGCCAATATTGACTCAACGTTCTGCTTAAGAATGTCGATCGAATGAGTTTCCGGTGTGAAAAGCAACGTGCGAAATAATTTTTAATTCACGGCGAGTGGCAGGCTATTTTCCGCGGAAATCTAAAGAGTGCAGTTCTGATTTTTCCACATGCGTGCCGGATATGCACGCTTGCATTTGAAAGGCCGTCTCGTTAGGACACAGGCGAGGACAGTGGGTCTTGCACACGTCTTCCGGTATTCCAGTATTGCATGCGCCAGTTACAATGGCGTAGGCGCCATTTTCACAATGGAACCAGCACCGATAGGAATACGCGGATCTGTGAGATTATCTAATTAAAGCGCCCGCCGTATCCGCCGCACCGAGCGAGTTTGTCTCTCACTCTTACTCCAGAGATAGAAAGTCGTCGAAGAGAGCACACGGTGCTCTCTTCACAGAAATCGGCATAATGCATAGATTTGTATGCTAGGAAATAACGCGGGCGAAGAAAATCCCGAGATATCCGATGAGGCGAAGCCGTTTCAACAACAATAGTCGAAAGCGAATAATCCGAGACAAAAGCGACGCTTACCTGACATTTGTCCTGTCATGTCCCTCGAGTTTCCAACGCGCGTTGACATTTTTCTCAGCCATCGACTTTCTACGAGTCAAATTATATCACTCCGCGGATCTACCTGTTATTATTCACGGCATTGTCTCACAACGATTTTATCCAGAGCGGCCTCGGTTGTTCAAATCGTGTTTCGCGAAATCTAATGACAACTCGTCTTTTTCAATTTTTGTCGTTGTGATATTCTTCGAGGACATTCTATCGTTATCGTGTAAACTTTTATTCTTATTCTTAAATACATTTATTCTTATATACATTTATCGTGTTAATCGCGTATGCATTTGCAGTATATATGTTTACTGTACATCGTTTTTCTTATCGTAATAATATCCAGGGGGGGGGGGGGAGAAATAGAATATCCTTGGCGCAATATGAGGCATGAAAATAGCACAGAGAATTGGCACAAGGGCACTCGCGATTTAATTGGAGGCCACCGAGATCTTCGAGTGAATGGATGAAGAGCGGGGTACGTTCTTCAAACTCTCGATGTCGTCCTCGAGCGAATAGGGCACGAAGGGCTCGGTCTGCACACCCACGTCCTCGTGATCTAGCTCCAACGCGTCTTGCTCGTAGATTACGTCGTGACTCCGCGGTCTCGCCACAGATGGGATCCACGGTTGCGGAACGCCTTTGCCGAGAGCCAGAAAAACCGCAGCGGTCGTCAGTAAGACGACAGAAGCAACGCCGAACACCAATCGCCAAGAACCAGCGATCTAAAAAAAAAAAAAATTTTGTCAGCCGTAGAGAATTACAATCATATTAGAATTTCTATACAATCTGCTAATTATTATTTGAGAAATGGAGCAGTAAGGTTGTTCATCTCTCTCAACATTTATGCCGGAATCGATCTACAAAAATGTATACGACGAAATGTAAAAAAAAAAAAAAATAAAAATATTCTTTCATTTTCAATTAGAAATCCGAAATATCACGCCGAATATATTATATTCTTATTTAAAACAATGCAGCAATTAGGTCGCAAAATAATTAATAACTATTTAAGTGAAAAGCAACGTGCGAAACGTAGAAAGTAGAAAGAAAGACTCGTCGCTAAATCCTCGTTACGTAATCCGACATTTAATGTTCGCGGATATGTACGAAGATATTTAATGCGTTATTATGTTTGCGCGGGCGGATATAACGCGCGTGCCTGCGTTGTAGTAACTCGACTTACGGAGCCATGAAGAGCCTGGGTGACGAAGTAATTGGCGGCCAGCAGTCCCGCGGCGCCCAGCGTGGAGCAAAGAGCGCACGCGGCCGCGGCGCACGCCGGTGACTCCGCAGGTGCGAGATCAGCTATGGCCGCGAGCGCGCCGGCCGGTGCGGTGCCAGAAACGAGGAGGGCTGCTATCCCCAGCCAGGCAGCACCCAGGGCCTGGCAGCCAGCGTAACCAGCGACGAAGAGAAGGGCCGCGGGGATGAAGTGCGCTAATAAAAATAAAGTGCGGTATTACTGAGAATACTTAACAAGGGGAATCTCTCGCGGAATGTCAAATTCTGCGATTTTAATGAAACTTTGCGTGCATATAAATTACGTATAAATATATTTCGAAAATATCGACTGAAGCCAGTAAACGGTTTTAAGAGACGAAACCTATCCCTTATATGTAAAATAATTTTCAATTTTTCTTTTTTTTTTTTTAATTCTCAAAAACTATTCGAATATATAAAAAAATGTTTTATACAATATTTTGATAATAAGATTTCCTCTATTTATCTACGTCGTATTTTCAAAAAATAATTTTTTTCCAAAATCTATATTTGCAAAATTATTTTCAAGAAGTATTATTGTTGTGCCTAAATAGAGATAAGTTAATATAATAGAAAACTTTCATACAGAACATTTTTTTATATCTTAAACAAGTTTTTGAGATATAACAAAAAAAAAAGCTGAAAAACGACTTTAAATGTGAAGAGTGATTTCATCTTTTAAACCGTTTATTAGCTGCAACTGGTGCTTTCATCTATTTACATAACCAATATAAAGTTTCATTAAAATTAAAATTTAACACTTCAAGCAATTCCCTTATAAGCAGAGTCAGAGAGACGTGTCGAGAAAATTTTCTTGTTATGTTACGTGGGATAAAACCTTTAGTTCATTACTCAACATGTCTGAGACTTTCCATCTTCAATTATCGTAATGAGATCTCGTAAGCTATTACTCTCACAATCAGAGCAAGGTAACGCCAACAATCAGTTCACCTCGCAGTATGAAATGAGTAATCTATAACGCATCAGTATTGCGTTTTCTATGGCTACAACAATATTGCTGAATTTCAATATCGTTAAATCTTCATCTTACACATTTTTTATAATTCAAAATTCATTTTTCATTGAGAATTTGCAAAGAATATAGGAAACGAAAATTACCTTTTTTTATATCAATTAATTCTACTATACTTTACATAAATTTTCTGGCCAAGTGGCCAAAATTCTTGCACGAATTTCAACACATATAAATGTGACAACTTTAGAATAGAAGAAACTAATTGACGAATATTGTAATCGTAATCTTGCAAACTGTGCGATTTACGCATACGCAAAAATATTAAGTGGCTTCAAAATTAAAAAAGTGAACTTACTATTTTTATTTATATTGTATTGTAGTATTGTAGACGTAATATCAGAAATATACAACGCACCTGTATAGACAACCAACTTTCTCGCCGTGGTCGTGGAAACTATTTTAGATTCACGGACGTGATCTACCAGGAGGCCGCAGGTCAGCGCAGCCATGAAGTGACCGATGTGAGGTAACGTGGTCAACACTGAGTCCTGAATTGAATTATAATTTAATAACGAGGCGAGACCTACGAGCTCGCAACTATCTCCATAATATTGGTCTGGATATTAAATATTGTATCCTAACATGTCGTAACATAAAGTTTCTATAGTAATAAGTCAGAATCGTCGATTGATATGTGACACACATAAGAAGAGACTCTTATTTAATTAAAGCAGATTGTAGTGCCTAATAATATCTGTTTTTTTTTGCGTGAACTTTTCATTTTAAAATTTTAAAGTTTATATCTTTTTTTCATCTTATATCTTTCTTTTGTTTTAATATTTCGCGCGCTTCTTTCATTTGAATATTTATGGGATATTTTTAATATTAAAATAATAGTAAATAAAAACAATCTCAGCCAACTTACGTTAGCTGTAGAAAACCCATAGATGAGCTTCAGGTACTTCGTCATGCCAAGTGCGAGCGTCGCGTCACCCCACTGATTACCCATCGTCGCCACTGCAGACGCCCAAACGGGTACAGATCTCAACAGCTTTCCCCATGGTATCACAGCCGCCTGATATTGATAATTACTAATCTCGTAGTTACATTTTAAAAAAGGTCTAATAGATTAGGTACATACATGTGGTCAAAGTCTTAAGTAATCTGGTAAGTCAATGTTACCCGTCGCACGACAGGTTTGTCACACAGGTACTAATTAGCGAATGGAAAATTTCTAGAGACCACATAGAAGCTTTCAGCTGTGTCTTTCAACTCTTATCGGACTACTAATTAGCACGTCCAACTAACTTTAATAACTTCCGAGAGTGTTGCGAATGCTAGCTAAATAGATCGGAAGTGTTGCTTACAGTTGTATCGTGCTGATAGGACTTTGGCGTGTCTTTAACAAATCGGCCGAAGGCGAAATACCAGCAGAGTGCCAAAAGAACCAGACCGTAACACAAAGAATCGCGACCAAACGTTCGCACCACCGCGGTGCCCAGCCATCCAGTGAGGCAGTAACCCACGCTGACAGCTTAAAGCAAATTAGGATTAGTCGAGTAATTTGAATCATGTAGACTGGTAACACTCATTGTCAGTGAGAAGAATATTTTTAAAGATATCCTGACAAATTGAAGAGCACGCTGTCGTAATATGCTGTAGAGCTGTAATGCGTAATTTGCAACCCCGTGGATTTTCTCGTGCCTCACCGACATATAGTCGAAAAAAACATAAAATCATATTTTTTATTTCATACAAACTACAGAAATAAATGTTATGTATCCCAAAGATTTTACACCCATTTCTAAAAGTGATTCTCTGAAAAAGGTTGCTCGTCACTGTCGTAGAATGTGCAAACATTCAAATCTGTTTTTACTACAAAACATTATAATAATGAATGACTCGGAGAGGTCTTTGTTCTTTTTACTTGTCATTTATATAAACGGCCGTATTCGCAATCCCCCAATATACCTGCATAACAGCTGAAGTACCAGCTTCTGTGATTGCTCTTAAACCAGGTCATAGCGAACATGTGAGCAGCTGGCATGGTTGCGCCCTGCAAAAGAGGATGTCGTAATGATTCTCGCGCGAATGTTTTATGCCGGCGTCGTGTTTTACGGTGCTGGGCAAAATCGAGTTCACGTCATTGCGAAGCGCTTGGAAACGGCGGTAATAAAGTTTCTGCGCGCGCCGACTTACGGTGCATAATCCTTGAAACAACCGAAGCGCGACATGCGACGGTCCGCGCCAGGCTGCAGGTACTAATAGAGACGCTAAGCAGGCGCTAAGAACTGCACGTGAGAACACCATGGAGGGCCCCGATCGACCCCACACCAGGCAACCTCCCAGGATCGGCCCGGCGACTTGTCCCCATAAGAACGCCTCACGCATAATCGATTCCGCTCGCTCCTCCTGCGGCAGCTGCCGTTCGTAACACATGGATTATAAATGTTATTCTGCAACGTAGCGTTGCAAAGCATAACTGTTCTTTTAGTGTAACACGTACATCCACTTCTTGGAATGGCTTGAAAAGACCGGTAGTTCCAATTGATCATTAATTATTGATGCAAAACAAAGCGCTATCGCGACATCAATATCAGTTTAGTTTGCAGTTTCGTATTGACGAATGAAAATTTGTTAGACGAATAAAAGTAGGGAGTACCACATTTACCACTGAAGTATAAGGCGAAATATTCAGGTATATACCTCCATAAATATAATTTCGAAGTCTTCGGTGCGATTGCGGCTGGTGATATTGACCAGCATATCGCAGTGCCAAGATGTGTCGATGATGGCATGATTGTCTTTCTGATTCGCCAGCAGTGCGACGGAGGAGCTGACTTCGACCGCGCCGCAAAGCGCAAATCCAACAGCGACTAGACCGGCGACGATGTGTCGCGCTCGTACAGCCGCTAACAAATAGCAATGTAATTACATGATAATCGTAATAGCCGCGACCAATTTGATCAAATTACCGATAAAAAAATCGCTAAAAACTTGCAAATAATTTCATAATCGACAAAGATCAAATAAAGATCATTAAAAGATTAATCATATCGCGTTGTGTTGATAAAAATCTTATGAATATTTTAATAATATCAAATTGTCCCAGTAAAAATCAGAAAAAGAATCAAGCAATTTTTTATTTGATCGTGTGACTTATTTTGTAAATATTTATCCAGGAATTTTATCATTGTTTGTACCGAAGAAGGCCTGATCGAGGTCGAAACGTCTATTACATTTATATACATACATCAGAATAAAATATTATCTCGCTAAATCTTGCGTTATGCCCTTTATTTGATTAATTTGAATTATGAATCACTTGAACTCTTTATTGTGAATTTTTTATTTACTATCTAGGGAATTATTTAATAAAGAAATTATTGAATAGAACGGTAGATATGCATTATTAATTATATTGCGCACAGCTAGGTTTTCACATTTTTTACAGAATCTCTATCATACAAATTGTAATAGTAACAAAAGAAATTTTCATGTGTGTATATGTACATCCATTATCATAGTCTCCAAACGTCGGAGCACAGCAATGTTTGATTTTGATAACTTACTCAAACGACTGGCACGATAATATCTTGCGTACAAATTCTAAATTTAAAAGGCACTCGTGTCGATTGGCTTTTTACGTATAAAAATAATATTTGTAAAATTACAAAACACACAAACGTTAATCATAACATTTCGATAATATTAGATTGTAGATTAATATATAAACTTATATATCGCAGAGTCAAAATGTTTCACTATAAAACGCAACCTTCGAAAGAATCTCTCTTTATTAATTTGTTAAAATAAATAATTAATTATAAGACACTAAATAAAGTAGATAATAAGTATGGAGTTACTCAAAGTTTGGCCGCGCGACAACGCGAAATAAAATTAGATTTCACGCGCACGAGTGTAAGAAATAAAAAATTAGTTACAGTGATTAGAATTTTGACGAACCTCGAACCTCTTGCGCAGCGAGTTTTAGTTGACAACTGCCACGTTTAACGAACTGCACGCTACCTCTCTTGACGAAGTCTGCCATCTCACAGAACCCAAAAATAATGAGATCGACCGCGACATCTCGCTCTTATCACGCCCCAGTGTTTGATTCTTCGCGCACTATCTCTCTCCACTACTCCGAGTATACAGGTGACCTCGACTTTGGCTCGGCAATGATGAAACGCAAATAGCTGACTTTTTGACAAGACAATGAACGCGTAACGCTGTTAATTCAGTAGTGTTAATCTAAGAAATAGTGATTTTTTTTATGCCTCTGCTAGTCTCCTAACACTAGTTCGTTTCATGCGAATTACAGATAAATATGTAACCGGAGCGAGTAATAACGCCACTAATAAGGTAGTAGGATGCTGACATGAAATTTATAATTTATAACTAAAATTGAATGTATAGTAATCTTAAGATTCTTAGTATGGAAAAATTAATTTCATATTCATCGAAGAATCTGACTAAAGATTACGCCGCCGTTTCACGATACGTTGTATGAATAATTGATAAGTTATTTCACTTCCTTTAACTCGAGACAGACGTAAATGCGTTTATGCGTCGTAAATCGTTTATTAATCATCTACGTAATCATAGCGCAAATGATAATGCATTAAGAATTCCGGAAACCCGTTGCCAAAGGAAGTCGATTGAGGGCACAACGTACCTTTGACCTCGAGTGCCGCGTGTCTCAACTGGACGCTACCGCGTTTAAGACGGACCAGCGCTGCCATCGTCGTCAAACGTGCTGACACATCGATTGCGTTTCCATAATGTAGGACCGATACTTTAGGCACATATCATCGACCAGTCCGTTATTGATCTTTTCGATCCACTTTACTATCGTGCGACACGAGGTTGATAGGACGCGACAGCGGTTACGAGTTACGCGAACCATACTGGTCATCTGGCCGGTGCGAGTGAATGAACATCTCCGTTAACGAGACTTGATACAATAAGTACCTATGCCGGATCAGCCTTGAAGCACCGCGCGCGAGGTCCGCCTCGTAATATTTTCCCCACGTCGGAGTCGCCAAGCGATATATTAAACCTCATCGCTGATAAAGATCTTCAAACGCAACTGTTGGTTTTCCCCTGGCTTTATCGCAATGATCATGATGCGTGATTTAACAATAAATATTAGTAATTAATATACAGTATTATTATGCACGAATGCCAGTGTGACGCTAATGAAGCAAAAAGCATTTCTGGATTGCATTATTGATAAATTTAAAAAATATTATCATGTTCGCATCTCTCTCTCTCTCTCTCTCTCTCAACTTCTCAAGCTAATAAATAAAATTATATGCCACAATCTTATAATATTGATAAATACATCAAAGTTGCATTTTATTTCTTCAAGAGTCATCGATGAAAAAAAAATTTTAAATATCTCTATCAAACAACAAAAGTGCTATATATTTTTCCTACCATTCGAATAATATAATTTAATGTGAGAGACTCTATCGGTAAGTGGCAACAAAGGAAACTTTATTAATAGTTTCAGCCTTAAATATTCATATTGTGAACATAATGAAACATCGTTCATTCAATGATAATAGTAGATGTTCCAGAACGTTGAAATCTACCATCTACCATCCGTCGTTCATGGATGTAGTTCTACGTTACCAACGACTAATCAGTATGGACTGACTGTCGTTCAAGCAAATCTGGAGCAGCAATCTTGTTCTAAATCCCAGAGCAGACATTTGACTTCTGTAGATAAATGTAAACCTGAACATTTCATTCGTGTGACAACGTTTCAAAATGTCAAATGATCCAGTGTTCATTGCGGATGGACGGAGGAAGTTCTACGTTACCAACAACCAAATCGAATTGGCAGGCTAGTGTTCAAACCAACCTGGCGTCTCTCATGAATTGATCTTATTCCAGCAGGTCGCGCGGCAGGTGGTTGGGTCCCTTCTCCTGCGCCTGCCACCAGCAGGGAGTCAGGGACTGCTGGGACAGCGGGATGCCACCTGCGCGATGATTGGTCAGTTTGCAGGCAGGTCAAAACGGCAACACATCGCTCGGTGTCGGCGTCTGCCACACACTTGTCTGCCGCTTCGAAGCGGAGCGCGCGATCCTTTGCGGCCTGGTATTTTTCGCGTCTAATCCGCGGCGATCAGTACGCGCTGTGTGTAAAAGATCGTTCGTTACAACGTACGTAGTATATGCAGTAATTTCGAAAAATAGGGGAGCACGAACGACCGCGGTAACCCGAACGAGATCGCGTTAGAACCCGTGCGGCGAATTCCGGAGTCACGCTTGCACCGAGCATTGCTTTTCAAACGTACGCAGGATGATGCAGCGCGCAGGGCGCCCGGGTGTTTTGACATTTGTAACATATAGTTATATTTTATTACTGTGATACATCTCGACGGTTAGCGCTTCGGGAGATCCGCAAACGACGGTGGTCGTGACGGTGAATGACGAGGGAAGTATCGTCTGAGAGTAGCGCGGCGCAAACGAGCAGCGAGGTAAGTGGACTCCGTTTTGGTTGCGTTTCGACCGTTTGCTTTGAGAGGTTAAGTTGGGTGCCCTGCTGGGGTCCCGCGATACCACCTCCCCCAATCCCTTCCCGCTTCCTCCCCGGCCCCCCGTCCCGCTAGCCACGAACGGTCCGACGCGGACAATACGGTCCTCCGGAGCAACTAGCGAAGGGCACCCGGCCAGGGTCCATTCCGGCCAAAAGATCCTTTGAATGGAATGCGTGCCAGCGTACGCTCCTTCATCCCCGCTCCTTTTTCTATATATCTACTCGTCCAGATTCTTGTTCATCTCGTATCCCCCATCCGTTTCACTCTCGCCGTCGTTCTGCAGTTCTTCGAAATTTCCGACTTCTTCAGTCTATTTTCGAACTAGACTTATATGCTGCTGATGCGGAAAGACTTGCAATTATTAATGAACGCCTCTCCTCCTTTGTTTCACCAATATTATCCTATTATGTATCGCGAAAACGATTCCCACTATCTACTGCGGTACAATTAGAATTACTCTCATCGTTACTATCTTCGCTATCGCTACAATTCTCCTTGTTGCACTCTTGATAATTACGCAGTAAGATATTTTCGTTTTATCTTACATCACTCTCTTACTTATCGTAAAAAATGATTGCGATACGAGAAAAGTAATTATTATGACCGTACGCCAATATATTTTATTGGTGGATTATATTTAAAGAACTTGTATACTCTCTCTCTCTCTCTCTCTCTCTCTCTCTCTCTCTCTCTCTCTCTCTCTGAACCATAATAAAATTTCCCTTTTCCCTATCTCTTCTTGTCCGTTTCCTCTTCTCTCCTCCTTCCGCGACCTTCCCTTTGGAATGTGCTTCTCGAGGGTCCAGACATATTTCTGATCATAGGATCATCCATAACAGGTCCCTGGCTTTCGAATTTCCTTTCCTGTCATCTAGAAATACGAGCGGTTTCGTACTCGTGCCATGCCGGTTTTCGATTTTCAAAAATCAACAGTCGCAACAGCAACTGTACAAAAATCAGGCAAGTTTGTCCGCCGTGTCAACTCAATAACATACTTCCAGAAGATTGGCTTCCCTTGTCGTTTTTTTGCGCTAGTTTGTATTAGAACTCTAAGTACTGTTACTTGTTCTTATGAACGTATTCGTATGAATAATTCTTAAAATTTGCCATTCATTGAAGTAAGTTGAACGTTATCAAGTCATCTTTCTATCTCTTGGAACATGTAAAGAGTAGAATAATATTTTGAAATTAACATTATATATGAAAGATATTTCCAAAACATAAATAGTATCGCTAGAATAAATCTATTTCTCAATATTACGATCTTATTATGTTAATCGACGACAAATTTTAAATGTGCTTAATTAATATCTATAAACATTGACTAATTCTGAGTTACTACTTTGTATTTTCGTCCACATATATTTTATATGTAATAAATACTTTTCTCGTCTCTCTTTTAAGACTTATGATCTTCCCTAGTATCATAAATATAATTCGCAATATAAATATAAATTTAAATATTGAAATTTTATATTATGAAATATATTGTAACAGGTATCTCAATCTTATCTGCTCGTCCATTTTATTCATTTATTGCACAACAAATGAAAAAATTATATTAAATATATATATATATGTATATAAAATAAATTGCTAAACAATTTAATCTGTGATATTATTATGTAGTAGTAATCAATTGGTTTGCGTTTCAAAACCGAAAAATGAATTCGACACGCAATTTAAATGACTACATAGACAGTATATAAATTCACGTAGAAGCACTTATTTAAGCACTTAAGAAGCAGCTTGTCCGTTAAAGACACTTCCTTTCCTTTCTTGTTTTATATTAAATATTCTTAATTTTCCGCGATATTCTGCCGCAATATAGCTCACGAAGGTCGTTCCGTTTATATCCACACGAGTGTCTAAAGTCTAAAGGGTTATTTATACTAGCCGTAATCTGTTAATTTATACCGTAATCTGTAAGAATTAACCAATCACGGTCAAATGAGAGGGGAATACTCGATTGGTCAATTCTTACAGATTGCGGAATAAGTTGACAGTCCTTTAGGCACAATTGAAAAGTACAAGAATAATGAATAACAGATTTCAACTGATCGAAAACCGTGTATTTTGGTACATACGATTTCTGACAGGTTATTCTCCGTTTCTATTGCCTGTGCTTTCCAATTGTGTCTTAAGCTTTAATCTACGCGACGGAGTCGTCGCAGAGGATCCGGGCGAGGAAACCGAAACAGTTTTCGGTACTTCTACACGCGTCATATGTAGGTATGTAACATACGTGCCGTTGTCAAACGTGCTTTGAAAATCACGCACAAATACCGTTGCACTTAAGGTCGTTCACTTACTTATTTACCGAGTGCGATTCAGCGCAGGAGTAGCTACCGGTGTTTTGTGCGCGACACGAATCGCAGAAGAAAATAAATGTGTGTCTTTCCGGTGTGTGTATGTCGTATCACGACGCTTCTCTTGCTCACCGGACGATGACATTTTGGTCAAAACTCGTATACGACGATTTCAAGAGGGTGAAGGTTTAGAGTGGAGCTAATTATAAGCTAATTATAAGCAGCTCTAATTAAATAAGAACTTGACACGAGTCTGCGATATAATCTTTACGTGGCATCTCGATACAATTGTTGACCGTCACGTTTTAACCGTGTACGTGCTTTAAGAGGATACCGTTGCTTATCAGTTATTCGAGTTGAACGTAAACATTTAGAAAATTGTGTCATTATGTCCGGTATGAGCTACGTTTTCTTCATAAAAAGAAATTATGACCCAAATAATACTTCTAATAATACTTGCTTTCGCTGCCTGAAATAATAGTAGACCTCTAACGGAAGAAGAAATTGGCTTCTGTCCTCAAATGCTAAGAAATATAAAATTGCTTCAAAACAGTACAATTGTGAATCTATTACGATAAAATTAATAATATCGATTCACGATTCTCAGTAATGTCCAAGTTTCGGTATTCATAAATAATTTAATTACATATACACGAAAAAAAAAAATGATTAACAATATTAGTCAATAGCAATGTGATTAAAAATAATCTTGTTTATTTTTAATAATAGCGTTAATAAAACAAATAATATTTTAACGACAATTAATTAACAAGATTCTTTTCAATTAGACTGCCGTCAGTTAATGTTGTTAGTTAATACATCTTTTTTTTTTTAAATTACGACCAATTCATTATAAAAATTACATTATTATTATACCTTGAACAATCTTGCGGAAATTTAATGAAAGAATCGCCATCTTACTCGCAATGGAATTACGTGTTGCATAGCAAATTATATAAGTTTAATGTGCAAACGGTTTAAAAAACAAGTATTGCAGGTATCGTTCCTTGAATACGTGTTTATCGGTTACGTACGAAAATGTCAGAAGACACGACCTTGCACGTACACAGACCCCACATGTCACGTAAATTAATTCCGCATAGTTTCAATTGCCGGCATTAAGCGAAGTGAAACGCGCTCTCAAGTTAGCATTATTCGCAGGTGTAAATCGCGTCACACCCCAAATCACCCGCACGTGATATTACCGCGAGATCCAATTAACCACGCTGACGATTGTAACCAATGCTGATAATTTTCATCAGAAAATCCATTATGGAGCAGGGCGCGCGGCACGCGAAGAAGAAGAAGAGGGGTATGATGGCGCAAAAGTGAAACTAGATTTTCTCTGATGCTTATTCAATTTGCGCTTTACGGTTCATTTACGTATCTTTCTTAATTGCTTCGAAATTCCGCTCCACCTCACCAACCGCTGCGAAGCTTGAAAATGGCGATAAGATTAAGAATTCCGGACTACTTTCTTCTTTCCGAAACTGAGAAAGTAGGGTCATGATGCCGGCGTCTCCCTTGAGGCATTTATTATGCGTAATTGTTTTGAGCAAATCTCGCGGCTCGTGACGTGACACATTATATAGGAATATATCTCCAGCATTATTTCCAAGAGAAGTGCACTTTCTCCGACGTTTCAATTAAATGAAATTTCTTTATTTATGAAAAGAAAGAGATTTAGATATCTAGATAAATTCTATTCACGGCTCGCATAAAAATTTTTCAGAAACTAGTCTTTCAAAAATACACACAATAAAAAATATTGTATAATTATGTTGTGGAAACGGTCCACTTAGGTATGCTCTTATTAGGCTCTTGTAACAATTTGTATTGGATTTTTTAATATATTTGAATGTTAATTTAACATAATACAAATATACTATTTAAAAATTTTGTGTCAAATTGATATTCAACATATATCTTAGTCAAAATGACACAATTTATCAGTAAGTAAACAAATAACATAAAAATGCTGCCAAAATTTTGAATATGTTCGAACAACCAATTTATACGTTCTACATAATTATTTTGAGTCCACAGCAAAATCATTTCAAATCTAGTTAAACTATTTTTTAGCTACTTCAAAAAAAATTGCCCTTTCGCGTATAATCGTCATAAACTAAAATTAGAATTTCTGGAATCTGCGTACGCATGCATTTCACGTATCAATATATTTAAACAGTAGGTAGTAAGACAGTAAATTTTTGATATTACGAGAATGATGAGAGTTATCATCGATTATTACCTGCCTCGGGGCAGGTGTAATGTATACATCGTACCTAAGTAATGCGATTAATATGTTAAGATTCGACTCGTCTGTTTCTTTCTCAACCGCCCGTCAGTACTGGTCAGTACTCTCCGGAAGCGGATCGAGATATCTGCACGCTATCGTCCGCATTATAATTTTTGCGATGCAAGAGAGAAGCAGAAAAAAGTATAGCGCCAAATCAGGGCGCGCGCGGAAAGTCGTTACGAGAAATCGACGACCACCGTAACGAGGCCATTGCCGGTGTATTTTTTCAATTACATAGGAAATTACCCTGCGACCGCTTCTCTCGGCATCATTTTTTCTTCCCTCGTTTCCGCGCGAGGAAATATCGCGTCGTTACGATACGCAAAAAGACA